CGAGGATGTCCTCCCTCAACATGTCAAAGCTCGCCATGGCAGCAACGAAAGACAAAAAAAAGTTCAAGGACCTTCCGGACACTCCCACCAAACTGGGCACCAACAAAAACAACAAAAAGACAGCACAAAAAAACAAGTATTCAAACATGTCAGGGATGCCAAACAAACACATAAAAAACCAGCAGCAACGAAAAAACTAGAATAATCTTCCGGGCAGCTGGCCGGATCCTGAAATTATCTATGGAAACCAAACAAGTTAGGAAAAAAGGTTCTTTATTTAATTGCTTCAACGTTTTATTCTCATTCAATATATAGAATTCTGTGGACCATTAGCATGGTGCTCTGTCCTCGGTTAGGATTTGAAATATTATTACTTACGAAGTGGCAGACTTTGGGGTCCTCCAACCACAAGACCCCGCCGCGTGGTGGGAATCAAGGGGGTGGGTGGGATGGCAAAATAAAATTAAAAATATTATCCGGCCTCTATCGGTTCCCGGCACCTACAAAGTCGCGTTCTTCCCAAAAGATTCATACGGTAGAAAGTATCATAAAGAATGCATTCATTTATCAGGGCGCACATACATTAATTAAGTTAGCCAGCTCTCCCACGATCATTCTTTTCACAAGCTCCTAAAAAAAAAAAAAAAAAAAAAAAAAAGGCGAAACAACAACAACCGAACAAAAGTATCGATAACGCCAGACATCAAAATACAAGAAAACAGGAAAAACCGCATTGATCAGTGCCGTATAACAGCGATGCATCAGGGTTCAGACTCGTCTTCCAATAGTAAAATGGCAACCTCATCATGATCGTGAACAGTGGCGCAGTGCGGACGCTCGTCTTGCACGTCACCCGACCGCAGAGCAACTCGTTTTTACTCGGACGGCTTGAAATGAGTGCTTCGCACGGCGGAACAACGAAGAAAATGGATGGGGCGGGAACGGTCGGGCTCAGATGTTCTTTCTCGATATTCTTTTTCATTCGCTGCTCACTCATGACGGTTGTCGGTGTGTCGCGATGCGAAGTAAATGGTCATCACAATCCTCGGCCAGGCGTCTAAGGAGAGGGAGGGCAGCGCTTCCAAAGAGGGGGAGGTGAAGGAGGTGTGTGTGTGTGTGTGTGTGTGGGAGTCAGAAGCCGACGAGATGCGTCTGTGC